TGGGGGGGGGGGGGGGGAGAGTGTTCCCACCCCGCCAGCTTCCTTGTTGCCCAAGGCTCAGGAAGACCCGGGGCCCAGGCCTGCCCCCTGGTGGCCATGCTGGCTCCCTCAGTCTGGGGCTGCGGGACACCAATGGGAGTGCGGGCCAGGCAGGACCTGTCCCCAGGAGACTCATTAAACCACTGCTGGCCGAGGCAGCCTGGAGGGGCCCAGTCCTGCTCACACTTCAAGGCCACCGTTGGCTGGCAGGGCTGGCAGGTCACCGTGGGCCGTCACTGGGCCCCATGAGATTTCACACTGCACGCCTCCCAGGCCGTCAGGGCCACCCAGGCTGGCTTGCTCCCCTCTCCTGGTGCCCAAGGCCTGGGTTAAACATTAGTGGGAGGTTATCAGCCGGGCCCGGGGCGGGAGAGGGTAGTTACACTTTCACCGCGTCCGCTCTGCGGGAGCCACCGTCCCCACCGGGCTGGACGATGCCTGTGGAGGAGTTTGTGGCCGGCTGGATCTCCGGTGAGACCTCTTTCCTCCTTCTGTCACGTCCCCCAGTGGTGGGTCACTTCCTGGGGAAGGTAGGCGACATAGGAGGAGCTGAGGCCAAAGTCCTGGCTCCCCGAGTGTCCGGGGCCAGCGGTCCCAGAGCCTTCTGGGAGCCGTGTGCGGGAAGAGGCCAGGAAGCCACAGGTGGCAGGGTGCTGTCCCAAGGCCCTGCTGCCTGACACCTGCCAAGAGGGGGAGCCAAGGTGAGGTCTCCCGGAGGCACCCCCAGCACCTGCACCTCGAACCCCGCTCTCCCAGTGTGGGGCTCAGAAAGTTCACCTTTGACCTCACCTGCTGTCCCCTGTCCCCCTTTTGGCCTGTGCCCAACCTGGCAATGAACGGAGGCACGGACCTGAGGCCTGCTTGCTATAGGCCCAGCTCAGCTTCTGGGGACACTTCTCTCAGGAGAAATAGAGGGACTTTCTGAACCTGCCTCGGGGGATGTGACCTCTCCCAAGGCTCCAGGACCAGCCTCTGCTGCAGGAGGCGGGGAGATGGGGCCAGCGAGACTCCCCTAAGGCCGCACTGCAGGCTGACAGGGCAGAGCGCCGGTGGGGCAGGGCCTGGTCTGGACCAACGCCCCAAACTGGACAGTGGTTGTGAGTTGATGGGAGGGAGGGAGGGGGAAGGGAGGGAGAGAAAGAGGGAGGGAGGAGAAAAGCTGTCAGGGAGGCAGGAGCGATGGAGACCCCTCCAGAGTCATGGCTAGAGAAGCCAGCAAGACACGGGGGTGTGGGCGCCCAGTGAGGACCCCAAGTCTGTGGTTGGCTTCTCCCTTCTGCAAGCGTGCGCTCAGGCCAGGTTGGGGCGCCCTCCTGTTGTCCCCTGGTCCGTCCCTTTCCAGCCCAGCGCCTGGTGCGGAGGCGCACGGGGCCAGCGGGGTTTCTGGGGAGCCGGTGGAAGGCCCTGCCCTCTCTCCTGCCTGAACCCCTCTTTCCTCTCAGCGCAGACTTGCGCCCTCAGCCTGGCGCTTGGCCTCACTTTTAGCACCTTCTTGTCACTACAGGAGCACTGGGCTTGGTGCTGGGACACCCCTTCGACACTGTGAAGGTGAGTGCAGGGGAGGCGCCCGAGGAGGGAAAGATGGCACCTGAACCGAAGGGTAGGCCGCCCCGAGGGCAGGGCCTGGCTGACAGTCTCCTTCCTGCCTCTGCTGCCCCTCGCGTGTCCCACTGTCCGTCCTTCCCGTCCAGGTGCGGCTACAGACCCAGAGCACCTACCGAGGCATCATCGACTGTACGGTCAAGACTTACCGCCATGAGTCGGTGGGTGCCTGCTTCTCTGGGGCTTTGGGGTGGGAGGCATCTGAGCGTCCGTAGCAGCTCCCTCCTCCCAGGTGGGGCCCTGCCCTTGGGAGAGAGAAGACCCAAGTCTGGGGCTACCGCTGGGGCTGGGTGGTAGCTTCGTGCCTCCGCCGGGCTCAGTGTGGTTCCAGCTGGAGGAGGCCTGGCCGGGCTGGGAAGGGCAAAGTGGGGGCCCGGGGCCCCCACCCACCCCAGTGCGTCCTCCCCCTGCAGATCCTGGGCTTCTTCAAGGGCATGAGCTTCCCCATCGCCAGCATAGCCGTGGTCAACTCGGTCCTGTTCGGGGTCTACAGCAACGCCCTGCTGGCGCTCACGGCCACCTCCCACCACGAGCGGCGCCTCCAGCCGCCCAGCTACACGCACGTCTTCATAGCCGGCTGCACCGGGGGCTTCCTCCAGGTCAGGGCGGCGGGGGCACGCGCACACGCACACGCGGGGGCAGAGGTGGGCAGTTCGGTCTTGCCCCTCCCAGCCCCATCTGCTGACCCACAGCTGCAGGCCATGGCTGTCCCCTCAGAATGTGAGAGGCGGAGGGGAAATGGCAGCTCCCGCTGCTCCCAGCGGCCTGGCCTGGCTGAGCGGGCCTTCCACCCTGCAGGCCTGGAGGGCGGGTGCAGAACAGAGGGGGCCAAAGCAGAGAGAGCTCAGGGGGGTGGGCGGGGGAGATGGTGCCGAGAGGACACCATAGAGCAGCCGACGCCCCACTCTGAGGTGGACAGGGCTTGCCCACCTCCGGGCGGGTCTGCCAGCCTCAGAGCTGCAGGGAGGGTTTCTCCAAGGGGAGCCCCGCCCTGACGTGGTCCTGGCTCGCCCCTCCCTGCCCTGCTCAGCCCCTGTTCCTGCAGCCTGGGTGGTTGGGATCACCGGGCCCCAGTCCACAGGTCCCGCTGGGAGAGGTCCCGGGAATTAATCATTAAGTAACCCCAATCATTTGTTTTCGGTCTTTGTTCTCAGCACTTAAGTACCTGGGCTTTTGAGGGGTGGGGTGGGGGGAAGAGGGGCCTCCAGGCACCCAGGGAACCCCAGCTGAATGGGGGTTCCCAGCATAGAGGCAGAGGATGTGTGCCTGCCCCGCCCACACCCGCCAGGCGCCTCAGGTCACCCTCTAGTTGGCATCTGCCCTGAGGCTCCTGACAGACTCACAGGCAGAGAGCAAGGACAAGGAACAGGCCGCGGGCTCACTAAGGTGAATTAATAACTCATGAGACCCCCAAAGGGCCTGGCTTTTCTCCTGCCCCTCTTTGCAGGGCGCATGCCTGCATATTTCCCACGCCCGGAGACCTGGCACCCCCAGAAGCAAGGAAGAGAACTGAGGCTCCAGGCCAAGCGGCCTGATTTAGGCCCAGCCAGGCCCAGCGCCTGAGCCAGCCTCCCCCCAGCTCTTTGGAAAGTAGAACAGACAACAGTCCTGGGCTGGGGGTGGCGATGGGGACTGGGTCTGGGGACCGACCGGAGCCGCTGGCTGTGGAGCCTCTGACTTCAGTCTTGGGGCAGAAAGTGTGTCTTGTGCGGAGGTGGGAGGGAGGCTGGGCAGGACTCGGGTTAGCACAGGGCAGGCTGACCACCGCTGCTGGGCACAAGAGTTGCTGTGGGCTGGCCAAGGCTGACCCCGTCACACAGTGGGGGCAGCAGAGCCTGATGTCCCCACTGTCCCCGTGGGCATGGGATGGGGAGGGTGGACCCTGCCTGCCACCCTACCTTAGGCCCAGCCATCCCCTCAGCTTCTGGAGCCGAGGGCTCAGGAGCCTGCGACATCAGGGCCCCTCTCGCAGGGGAGGAAGCCGGCCAACTTGGCCTCCACCCTCTAAAGATCATTGCCAGAGCCTTCGCCAGTCTCCTCTGCCATCAGCCATCTCCAGGCTGAGGGACTGAGCCCTCGCACCTTCCAACCCCCCCGCCCCCACACACACACATACTCATGTTGCCCCCAAATGCTGCGCTAACCTCGCTATGGTCTCGATTCTCTCCTCGCTGATCTCGACCTGGTTGACTCCCTGACTCACACCCCAGCCCCTCCCCCAACCACCCTCCATGTCCTCCCAGCACCCACCCTAGGTGCCAGTACCACCCTGACTCTGAGTTCCGGGTGCTCAGCCAGTGATAAGAGCTCTAGGACCTACAGACGCACCTGTAGCTGAGGGTGTGCGAGAGGCGGAAAGGGCTGGCCCAGCGCTTGCCCCTGAGAGGTGTGCACAGGAGCTGGGGGCTGAGACCCCAACACTCACGCGGTGACCTACTTACCCTGTGCGTGGGCGCAGACTGCACCCTTTCTTCAGACCCAGTCACTGCTCAGTCCTGGGTTCGGGGAGGATCCCTGACCCATCCCCAGCTTTGAGCATGAGAAGCTGAGCGCGGGCAGCGGGAGGTCCTGCGGGAAGATGCCCTCTGCCTTCCTCCTCCTCCTCAGCACAAGCTGGCCCCGCCGGGCCTTCCCCCTTCTTTCCCTGCAGGCCTACTGCTTGGCCCCTTTTGACCTCATCAAAGTTCGGCTACAAAACCAGACAGAGCCAAGGGCGCGGCACGGGGGCCCCCCACCCCGGTACCGGGGGCCCGTGCACTGTGCGGCCTCCATCTTCCAGGAGGAGGGGCCGCGGGGGCTGTTCCGGGGAGCCTGGGCTCTGACGCTGAGGGACACCCCCACACTGGGCATCTACTTCGTCAGCTATGAATGGCTCTGTCGCCAAGCCACGCCAGACGGCCAGAACCCCAGTAAGTGAGGAGCTGTGAGAGGGTGGGGGGCAGAGGAGTGAGGTGGGGAGCTGGTCCGGCGAGGAGGAGCGGAAGGTGAGGGCAGGCGAGGGTGCTCCCGGGTCTGACCCTGCCCCGGCCTCCCGCCACCCCAGGCTCAACCACAGTGCTGGTGGCAGGGGGCTTCGCCGGCATCACCTCGTGGGTGACCGCCACGCCCTTGGACGTGATCAAGTCGCGGATGCAGATGGCCGGGCTGGAGCGGAGGGAGTACCAGGGGCTGCTGGACTGCATGGTGAGCAGCGCCCGGCAGGAAGGCCTGGGGGTCTTCTTCCGGGGGCTGACCATCAACAGTGCCCGCGCCTTTCCTGTCAACGCCGTCACCTTCCTCAGCTACGAGTACCTCCTCCACTTGTGGGGATGAGGCTGCACAGGCGCTGCCCGCAGCTCCCCAGGCGGGAGGGACCGCCACCCACCTGCCCAGGTCGGAGGCCAAGTCGAAAGCACCAGGTTGAGATTTCATTGCGGGACTCTCAGCCTTCCTGTCGAGGCGCCTCCCAGCCTGGAAGGTGCAGATGGGCTGGGAGGTGGTGAGGAGCAGGCCCCGCCCCCGTCCTGATTCCTTCGTAAACAACTGCCTTAAGCGGTGGTGCTGGAGACGTCCCGCCACCCTGTGACTTTACCCTCCACCTGCCGGGCTGCTAACTCTGCCCTGGATTCCAGGGCGGCGCCCTCAGCCGCCTCCCACCCCATCTCCTTTCCCACCTCCTCCCCCTGACTCAAGTGTGGCCTTTACACCTCCTGCTGTCCACATCCTTCAGTGACTCCCACCCCCTCCAGGGAAAAGCCCGAACTCCACCCCTCCTGATGGGGCACCGCCCTCCTCCAGCTCTCCTCTCTCGCAGCAGCTTCAGCAGCCCCGCCCTGCCCCAGCACAAGCTGTGCCCCTCATCACCCCCAGCCTGGAAGGTCTAGTCCCTCCCGGCCAACACTGGGCATTGCCAAGGGGTGACTCCATCATCCCTCTGGCTGGGCCCCTCCCAGACCCAGACTGAGCTCTGTCTCCTGGTCCCTCCTCGGCTCCCCAGGCTGACTTTGGGGTCTGCAGATCACCTTGACCACGGCCCCAACTGTGTCCTGGTGGCCAGTTGACTTCTCAGCTTCCCCATTAAACGGGGAGCTCCTCGAGGCAGGGGTCGCACATCTGATCATTTCCCAGCTCGGAGCCTGTGCTCAGAGCAGCCCAGTGAATGGCTGCTGAAGGCAGTGGCATTGCGCTAACTCCAAGCACCCCACTTGCTTCCGTGGTCCTGCCCCCCTACCCCCACCCCCGCCAGCCCCTCACTGAGAGCTGTGAGTGTGCCAGCAGCAGGGTGCCTGCCTAGCCTTTCCCATCCGTAGCACAAGCTTTCTTTACTTGTCTCAGTTGCCCAGTGGGCATGAAAACTGGCGGAGGGTTTCTTTAACTGGCAATAAAGCTGAGCAGGGTTTGTACCCACTAACCTGTCTGAGATCAACCTGGCCCCCCTCGCGGTGACCTGAATGCCGGGATCCCTGCCCTTTCCCGTGCGCTGCCTAGAAAGACAATCAAGCGCTCGAACCGCCCTAACCACCGTGACAGAGGGGCCTCGGCTCAGACACTAGGTAACTCGTCCCAGGCTGCACAGCTGGTGCGTCGCGTCCACAGCTTCCCGGAGGCACCTCCAGAGCATCCGGAGCTCGGTTACTCTCTGCCCTGCTCTCCCTGGGCACCATGACAGTCTCCCCGAGTCACCTAAGTTCAGGTCCACCTGGTGGGCCTGCCAGCATCAGCCCGGACAGGTGCTTAGCGGAGCTGTATTCACCAGGTGGTGGCTCGCAGACTGCAAGTCATCCTCCCTCCTCCCATCGCCATAGCACGGCCCCGGGGCATGTGGCCGCTGAGCCTGGCTGTGTCCCAACCTCCCTTGCAGCTCGGTGGGGCCTGGGCGTGGTTCTTGCTAGAGAAATGGTGATGCGTGCACCTTGCCCCTCACCTGCTTACAAGGCAGTTCCTCCCTGTCGGTGGCCCTGGACGGACTGCTGAGGGTGCAGGAGGCGCCCCACTGGCCCGGAACCAGGGGGACTGCTCAGCCTTCTCGCCGTCTCACACAGTGGGTGAGGGGCTGCAGTTCCGTGGTCGGTGGTCCCAGTGTGGTCCGGGAGCAGCGGCATCGGTCCTCCGGGAGTCGGTTAGAATGACTCCCAGCCCCAGCCGGGCCTGGCGGAAGCAGAAGCTGAGGTTGGGCGCAGGAGCCTGTGTTGGGAGACACTCTCCCGTGACTTCACACACGTAACGGTGTCTGGCTGCTCCTAACAGCAGAAACGTGCTGCCCCTTCAAGTTGTGAGTCGGGAGTGACCTGAACTAGTGCTGGCGGCCTCCACTCCCCCAGCCTCAGGGAGCCTCTTCCCGGGATGGACAAGGGGGTCTGCCTGAGCCAGCACTGTCCTTCCTGGGCCTGTTGCCACCAAAATCCCTTCCGGCTGGTCAGCCTGTGGGTCCGGTGGCCGTGCGGCACCGCCGCGGTGCCAGAGACTTGGGGCTGGACACGACAGTCATGGGAAGACCTCAGGGCAGTCTGAGGCTGGGAGGGAGCCAAGAGCATGTGAAAGAGGAGGTGGCTCTTATAACCCGGGCCAGGGGACAGGAGTTCCTGGCCGGTGGCCCCGTTGGTTAGAGCATCATCCGGTTGCACCAGGGTGGTGAGTTTGATCCCTGGTCAGGGCACATACAAGAGTCAACCAGTGAATGGATAAATAAGTAGAACAACAAAAGTCGATGTTTCTCTCTCTCCCTCCCTAAACAATCAATAAGTATATTTTTAAAAATTAAGAATAATAAAAAAAGAAGAGACAGGAGGTCAGGGTAGTCCTCTGAAGTTTGCCATCTCTCACCACATTACCAGTTAGCAAGAGAATAAGATATTAAAATCCTTGTATGATTTTCTTAAAATGAAATCCTTTTTGGGGTATTAATTTCACCCGTAAGCCTGCCTTTGCACTTCCATTTTCCTTCTCTGGTTCGCTCCAGAGGCATCCTGTGGGGGAGGGGCTGGAGCTCCCTTGCTCTGAGCTCCTTAGAAACAGAGAGTGGCAGGCCTCATGTGGCCATGCAGCCCCTTCCACTATCCTGGCAGGAGCTGCAGCCAGGCTGCAGAACAGAGCTGCAGTGAGTAGGTTAAGCATAGCTGCAGGGAGGGAGAGTAAGCATAGCATGAACAGTGAGAAAACTCACAACAGTATTGGAATGGAGGGTGGAAAGACAAACAGAGTCAGGCAGGAAATGGCTGGAGATATTTTTAAAAGCTGGATGTTTTTACATCAGCAGGGTCTCATAATATGCACATTAAATTCCTTCAGGAATTAACAGATGTTATTACAGATCATCATTATTCTTTTTTAGATTAATATGTTTTTATTGATTTCAGAGAGAGGAAGGAAGAGAGATAGAAACATCAGTGATGAGAGAATCACCGATTGGCTGCCTCCTCACGCCCCCCTCAGGGGATCGAGTCCCGGGGACCTCCTGGTTCATGGGTCAATGCTCAACCACTGAGCCACACCAGCTGGGCGGTCATCATTATTCTTGAGACTCATTTAGGTAGAAGGAATCCCTAAGAATTAGGACATAGTCAATGAACTGCTTTGAGGCTGAAAATGGGGGTGGTGTCTGAGGGACGCATGTAAAGGGCTTATAATTTGGCAAACACATAGGAGAAATTACAGGAGACTAACTCATGTGTATTGTGACAATAAGGCTACACGTGCAGGTAAAGGGGGAATGACAGGGTGAACATGGTTCTGGTATAAGTCACTATTGCCAGACTCACTGAACAGCAGAGTTTGGCTTTAGTTTCTTTAAGGGGAGTCACTCTTAGCCTGGCCGACATGGCTCAGTGGTTGAGTGTCGACCTATGAATGAGGTCATGGTTTGATTCCCAGTCAGGGCTCATGCCTGGGTTGTGGACTTGGTCCCCAGTAGGGGGCATGATCATTGATGTTTCTATCTCTCTCTCTCTCCCTTTCCCTTCCTCTCTGAAAACAAAAAAATATATATATTTTTTTTTAAAAAAGAGGAGTCACTCGTAATTGGTGTCTCTGTCCGACCACTGTCCTGAGCTCCAGGCACACACTGCCACCTCTGGTCACAGATCCTTGAGCGTCCATCCCAAAGGCGCCTGTTCCTGCTGCCGCGCTCTGTGGCAGAGGGAAGCCTTCAGGCCCCACATCTCAAAGAAGCTCTCCCTCCCCTCTCCTCCTGCTTCAAAGGAGTCTCCAACTCTTGTTAACCTGAAGTTTCCTAGGACTCACTCCCTTCTTTCCAATCCTAACACGGGCATATTTCAGGAATACTGTGGGCGTGGTTCCAGACCTCTGAAATACAGCGAATATTGCAATAAAGCAAGTCACATGAGGTTTTTGGTTTCCCAGTGCATATAAAAGTTATTTTTGCATAATACTGTAGTCTATTGTGTGAAATAGCATCATGCCTAAAAACCAATGCACATGCCCTAATTTTAAAACACCTATTGATCCCACCGCTGCCACCAAAAAACCGTATTGCTAAAAAAATGCTGACTATCATCTGAGCCTTCAGCAAGTCATAATCTTTTTGCTGGTGGAGGGTCTTACCTTCAATTTGTAAGAAGTGCAACATCTGTGAAAGGCAATAAAGCCAGGTGTGCCTGTACTACAGCCCTGCTCCTGTCCTGAATCTGGACAATAACTCAACTTTTTCAAATGCAATTTTGATCAAGTTACCCTACCCTTTTGTCCCCCTTGATAGCTTCCTGTTATTCTGAGCAATCCGGGCAAGCTCCTTCCACAGTCCAACCTTCTCTTGGTTGCTTAGCATACAAGGATCTTGAGGTTTTCCGGAGATGAAGTGCAACCAATTTAAAAAATTCCCACAACAAAAATTACCAGACCCACAGGGGAAAAATTCCCACAACAAAAATGTCCAGACCCACAGGGGAAAAATTCCCACAACAAAAATTACCAGACCCACAGGGGAAAAAACCACCATCGAATTAAAGCATCAGAACAAAAAACACACAACAGATTTAGCTGTCTGTCCTTCCATTCTGTAATTATATACTTTCATTTGTGCGACTTTGATTATAACTGTCTCTTCTCTAAACTACGAGCTCCATGAAGCAGTGACCCCGACTCTAGGTGGCATACAGAGGTGCTCAATAAATAATTCTGAACAAGTGAATGAAAGAATGAAAGAAAACTGCTCTCCCCAACTTCCCTTCTGTCAGGCCAGGGCTCTAGACTTTATGTAGATCCCGCCTATCATTAAGCAGCTAGCCAGGGGTGGGCAAACTTTTTGACTCGAGGGCCACAATGGGTTCTTAAACTGCACTGTAGGGCCGGAACGAAAGCATGGATGGAGTGTTTGTGTGAACTAATATAAATTCAAAGTAAACATCATTACATAAAAGGGTACGGTCTTTTTTTTTTTAGTTTTATTCATTTCAAACGGGCCAGATCCGACCCGCCGGGCCGTAGTTTGCCCACGGCTGAGCTAGACTCTAGATCCAGTACAACAAACATAATTTCAGAACCATCACTAACTTTGCCAATAGTGAGGGAACTTCACAAGGACCCCTTCAAACAACAGAGTGTAAACCAGGTTGTCTCCAAAGCTGCCCTTGGGGCAAACGCTAATACCTTGACCTTGAGGATTAAAGAACCACACAGAAGACTAGAGACCGTGAATCCCAGCTAAACCCAAGCCTCGTAAGTTAAGTCAAGATCTGGAAGGGGCTACACTTTCAGCAAAAGCATAGACCGGAAAGCTTCCACCCACCAGTAAAGGGAGCCCACAAAGAAATATGCCTCTGTGTGTGGGGGGAAAATCAAGAATAAGATCAGCTCCCCTGTGAACCAGGAACCAACCACATGCCTGTTCGTTCCTTTAGGTCTGGGACACCTTCCTCCCAGAAATTAATTTATCATGGTGTCCGCGCCCCCTTGTGCCTGATTGGAGCAACTACAATCTTTTTCTAAAGGTGAGCAGTCTAAATCAGGATCTTGAGGTTTTCCAGAGATAAAGTGCAACAATTAAAAAAATTCCCACACTGGTAGGGGAGGCCAGGGGATTGTCAAGGGCGGGAGAAAAAAAAATATATGTAATACTCTTTGTAATACTTTAAGCAATAAAAAAAATTCCCACACTAAAAAGAAAATCAATAAAATATATTTAAAAAAAAATTCCCACAATAAAAATTACCAGACACACAGGGAAAATAAGCCAGCATGAATTAAAGCACCAGCACAAAAACACACAACCGGTTTAGCCTCCCCACCCCCCCAGGCATTTCAGATTTTAGGTTATCAGATACAGAAAGTAACCATGCATAAAATATTTAAGTGCATAAAAAGAAATAAAAGAAAGACAGTATAAAAATTATTCTAAATACTTGAAAAAAAACAACACCCAAAGAACTGTCACAGCTGAAGAGAACTGAAGGTAGACGGGAAGGAACTCGAGTGCAATGCAGAGATATCAGAAGACGGGACCCATCTTTCTGCCTCTGGGCTCTGCATCCAGTCCATCATCTTCTCAAGTCTGATGATGATGATGCATAGTGATTAAAATAGTACCTGGTATACTCCCAACAATAAAGATAAATAAAATAAAATAGTGCCTGGCAAGTAGAAAACACTTTATACATTTGTCTAATCCACATGACTGACCTGTACAGTCGGTCACTTGCTCTCTCTCCCTCTAGTGAGCACCTAGGAACAGGCACTGTGCCTTATTCACTTTGCTGCCCTGGAGCCTGTATGCTTTCTGAACATACAGGGTGTCTGTTACAGGCTTGTTAGGAAACTGAAATAATGTACATACTATTTTTTGCCACCCCTTACTTTGCATGTGGCAGTGCCTGCAAAATTGAATAGGATTGCCTTGACCTTGATTTTAAAACACTTGATCTGTTGGAACTAGTCCTCTTTGGCTCCTCTCACCCCTTCATACCTGATGCTCTATCCATGAGGCAGTCCCACCAACTCAGCAGCTTCCTGACTCGGTTTTCTGGTTTCCACCTTTGCTCCCCACCTTCCCATGTTTCTCACACAGCAACTAGAATTAGATTTTTTTAAAATATAAAATATATCATGCTCTTCCGTTGTCTCCATCTCCCTCCACCCCCAAACTAATATTTCCTGCCTATTTAGAATAAAATTTAAATACTGATGGTTCAGAGGCCCCTGCCCACCTCTCCATCTTCCTCCTATTGGACCTTTCTCACTTGCAGCCACGGCACCGTCTTTCTGCTTCTTAAACCTGTTGAGCTGTTTCTGGCCTTCGAGGTGTGTACCTACTGTTCCCTTTACCGAGGACACTCTTCCTCCGGAACAATGACTGTTTCCTGGTTATCGTTTATGACTTGGCCCAAACCTCATCTCCCTGACTCACCTCTCACAGCCACTCTGTGGCATCATTCTTTTTAAAAAATATATATTTTATTGATTTTTTACAGAGAGGAAGGGAGAGGGATAGAGAGTTAGAAACATCGATGAGAGAGAAATATCCATCAGCTGCCTCCTGCACACTCCCTACTGGGGATGTGCCCACAACCAAGGTACATGCCCTTGACTGGAATCAAACCTGGGACCCTTCAGTCCACAGGCCGACGTTCTATCCACTGAGCCAAACCGGTTAGGGCTGTGGCATCATTCTTTATTTTCCCTGGCCCACATCCCTATTTAAAATCACTGTGCTTATTCGTTTGCCTGCATCTTTATCTCCCTCTACCGGAAAGTAAGGAGTCCTCTGTCTTGTTCAGCAAGAGCTAATGGTCCTAGAACAGGGCCTGCCCCACAAGCAAGGCATTCAGTACTCACTGCTTGAATGAGCCACCAACGTTGCCTACAGATAGGCAAGTGTGATATGTGCTATCAGTGCCAGAAAGGGAGAGACTACTTGTGGCTTTCAAAGAAAGCTCTGGGAAGAAGCCAGCAATAAAACGCTGTTACCTGATGCTGCTCATGTAAGAGGAAATCGACACCCAGAACTGAGAGCTAACCTATCCCCTCTCTGTTGCTTTGGTCAGGGTTTTAGAGCCGGTATAATTTTGGTGTCAACATTTTAAAAGGTATGTCAGCACTGGGATGATTTCAGAAAAAGGACAATGTAAATGAATACAGGGTAGAAAAAAATAGAATCTGTGAGGAAAGGCTAAATGATTTGAAGGAAGGCCAGTAGGTGGCTTCGGAACTGTTTAAAAGTGAGTCGCTGTCATTGTCCAGCTGCCAGGTGTTGTGGTCAGTGAGGATGAGTCACACTGGAAGAATCCATCAGCCTTTACCCACTTCCTGTGACGGTGCAAGCAAGAGGCAGAGGCGCCACCCCCCGGGTTCCCTTCCCCCCAGGGAAACCGCACCAGGCGACAGTCCAGTGAGGTGCCAGGCAGACCAGGACGGTCTCCTGTCAGGAGCCCCCTGAATACAAGGCTCCTGCCTCTTTATGCACCATGGATGGGGACGGGAGGGAAGGGCTGGGAATGAAAGGTGCTGGGCTCAAGTGGAGACAGTGGAGACAGAGGCCCCTCTGAGGAAGAGCCTGGGTGAATGCAGGTATAAGCGGGGCTGCCCTGGGCGGCCTGCGTCCTGACTGCAATACCCTCCACAAACTTGCACGCACAGTTGTGACTGCCTGTGGTCGGCCTGAACACGGAGGATTTTGCCTGGAGCTGGAATTCTCACCAGTCAGAGTCTGTCTGCGTTCAGAGCCCACATCCCTTCCAGGTAAAAGCATCCTCTTGCCATCTCACTCTCATGATCTGGCTCAGGCTTTCCCGTCTGGACCAGTCAGTCTCTCTGCCTCTGGGTCTCACATCTCTGACCCACCTTCCATGTCTGTTTTCTAGAACCCCACAAACGACCTGTCCTTTTCTAACGGAAACCCTTTGGGGTGCCCCACCATTAAGCCTGGTGGGCTAATTGCCCCTCCTGCTCTCGGGGCCTCCCCGTGGCTCTGGTGGGAATGCCTGACTCCGTGCCCCGCCCCTTGGCCTGGAATATCCTTCCCATTCCTGTCTGCCCTTCCAGCTACAGCTCAGCACTCACCTCCTCCAGAAGTCTCCCAGGCTCTACAGGGCCACAGCACTTTGCATATAATCACACTCCACTGTCATTGTCTGCAAGGTCCTGCCCAGCAGGGACACCATCTTTGCAACCTCCTCCGTCACACAGGTCTTGCTGAAGAGATGTTGTGAAATGATCAAGTGAATGACAGAAAAAGAAAAAGAACCGACAACTATTCCAAGTTCTGGCTCCGTTCTGTATCCCTAGGAAGTCCTGAGCCCGCCTCCCTCCTTCCTCACATCACCTCCCCTCCTGCAATCTGCGAGTGAAGTCAGCAGAGCAGCAGAAAGTGCGGGGCGATTCTTGGGATCCGTCTGCTAGCTGATGAGGAGTCCCCCTGCCCAGGGGTTCCCTCCTGCTGGGAGAAGAGGACCCCTATGGTCATCCGCAGACAGCTCCAGAGAGCTGTGTGGTGGCAACCCTCCGCAGTCAAGTTAAAAATCAGAGCTGAGCCCTGGCCGAGTGGCTCAGTTGGATCATCGTCCCGTCCGTACACCAAGAGGTTTCGGGTTCGATTCCCCATCAGGGCACATACCTAGTTTGATCCCCGGTCAGGGCAAGCACAGAAGGCAACTGATCGATGTTCCTCTCTCACATCAATGTCCTCTCTCTCAAATCAATAAACATATCCTCAGGGGAGAATTAAAATAAAAATCCGAATTGGAAGTTTCCATCCTTCTCCCCTGAAAATTACACCCTGGCCTCTTTTCTCATTAAAAACTTTATTTTCAGAAGCAGAACTGTTTTTAACACAGAGAGTTCAAGGCGTCAGCCTGTCTGTAAAGCCCAGATTCTACCTTCCCTAGTCCCAGCCTCCCTAGAGGTTCAGAAACTACGGAGCCTATCTTCACGCCCCTAACGCCACCCACCCCCTGGATCCCTCTTCTCTGGGCTTGGATAACTTGTTCAGAGCTTAGACTTGGTCTCTCAACTTGTCTTCCTTCTACACCTTTCGCAAAAGCTCCATTTCCACGGGAAACAGACCAGCCTCCAACCTGCCTGCTGCGAGGGCGTTTCCATGGGAAACAGGAGAGGAAGGGGCTCCGGAGAGCAGTGGGGCCTTTACAGGCAGCAGAGCCGCTCGACCTCCTCCTCACAGGCATAGAACTTCTCAAATAGCTGCGGGGAGGTGCCATGGCACTCAAACCACCTCCTCAGTGTGCCCAGGGCCCGGAGCGCGTCGGCTTTGGTGGGCAGGGGCTCGAAGCTGTCCTCACCAGCCCCCTCATCTTTCGTGTCCACCTCCTCTTTGCACACGCCAGGTATGGGCTCCTCACCCTCCAGGTCCACAAAGCGGGAGAACTCCTCGAGGCTCAGGCCGCAGGGGACGGGTGGCAGCTCAGAGGCTTTGTCCAGGGACAGGGGCATTTTGCAGGGAGCCAGCCCTTCCCGAATGAAGCTGCTTACAATGGACTGCGGAGGCACCTTGGCCCAGGCAGCCGCCACCATGTGCAGAGTGTCCCGCCCTGTGAGGCCTGCCCCAGCCTCGGCTAGCGATGTGCCAGCCTTCTCGCTCTGGACAGCTGTCAGCTTGCCCAACAGACGGTGCCGGTAATGGGCCTTAAAGGCCCGGACCACAGAGTTGGGCAGGGAACGTGTGGTGCTAGCGGTAGAAAGAGGCAGGAGCCTCACATGGCAGAGCCCAGACAGGCCTGCCAACTTCCCCGCTACTTGGGCAGCCAGCAGCAAGGCTACCTGTCGGCCCTGCCTCCCCATGTCCCGGTCAAACTGTGCCAACCACTCCGACCAGGGGATGCCCAGGTCGGGGTGGTAGGAGGCAGGCAGAGCCTCACTGCTGACCCCAAAGAAGCACCTTGGTGCAGCTTGGAGCCCAGTGACCAGTACCCGTCGCTTCTCTGTGCCCCTGGTGTTGGCACACAGCAGCACCTGTACTTGATCACCTGTACCCACTGTGCCGGGCACTGCCCGATACAGCAAGGGCACTTCAGCATAGCCAAAAACATCCTCTGGGGAGAAGT